GACATTTGTAGAGCTGCGGTTTGGTCATCGGTCCACACCTTCGCTGCTCACTATGCGCTTGTACAGCAGTCCAGAGACGATGCTGCGTTCGGATCAGCGGTTTTGCACACAGCAATGTCTCACTCCGACCCCACCGCCTAGGTAAGGCTTGGTAGTCACCTAATTGGAATCGATATGAGCAAGCACTTGAAGAAGAAAAAACAGTTACTCACCTTTGTAACTGTTTCAGAGTAGCAGCCGTGTTAGTCTGTATCCGCAAAAAGAAGAACAGGAGTACTTGTGGCACCTTAGAGACTAACAAATTTATTAGTAACTGTTGTTCTTCGAGATGTGTTGCTCATATCCATTCCAAACCCACCCCCCTTCCCCACTGTCAGAGTAGCCGGCAAGAAGGAACTGAGGGGGCGCTGTGTTGGCTGGGGTATATATCCAGCGGCATGAAGGCGCCACTCCAGGGGGCTCCACAGCCGACCCACCGGGTGTTGCTAGGGTAGAAAATTCTCCAATGATCATGCACGCGGCGCACGCACTCGAAGAAGAAAAGAGTTACCTGTTCCATAACTGGTGTTCTTCGAGATGTGTTGCTTATGTCCATTCCATGACTCGCCCTCCTTCCCCACTGTCAGTTTCCGGCAAGAAGGAACTGAGGGTGCGGGAAGTTGGCAGCACCCCTTATACCACAGCATGTGGCCGCCACTCCAGAGCTGGTCCTCTACGGATACCACTGAGGGAAAAACTTCTGGCATCGGTGCATGTGGCTAGTGCACATACCTAATATGGAATGGACATGAGCAACACATCTTGAAAAACACCAGTTATGGAACAGGGTAACTGTCTTTTTCTCCTTAGCCCCAGTTTCCTTTTCTGGTTGGTTTTTCTATAGCAAGGGTTCTCAGCAGCCTTTTTCTTTGAGTCCCCTCCACCCCCCATATGGTATAAAAACTTCAGAGCCCACAGCAGCTGTTTTTCTGCATATCCAGTAAACTAAAAGCCAGGGCCGGTGTTAGGGAGTAGCAAGCAGGGCAATTGCTCAGGACCCTGCAAAGCTAAGTTGCTCAGGCTTCAGCTTCAGCCCCGGCGGGGCTTGAGCTATGGCTTTCTGCCCTGGGCCCTAGCCTGTCTAACGCCAGCCCTACTCTCTGACTTATTTTGGTGGCCCCCCTGAAACCTGCTCGTGGACCCCTGGCTAAGAACCGCTGTTCTGTAGGAACCAAAGTGGAGCAGGCATTTTGGAGAGTGCACTTTTTTTTGAGTCTTCTAACTTATCTTTCAACCACCTAGACACAGGGACGCTTCCAAGTAGAGTGACTTTTCCATGATACAAAACAACATCTGGAGCTAAAGGTCTTCACAAAAATAAGTGATTCACTTCACGTGTGGGACTTGAGAACTCTATGATACTTTTGAAATACTTGGTTACATCATGATTGGAAAGGTGTGTGTATTCTGTCGTTTAAATGTTGATGACAGTCACTTTGGCATGCAATTTGTGCATTAGTATGTAAAAACCTTTGAGCTATATGGTATATAAATTGTCTATAAAAATTAAAATTTACTGGCTTTTTAAAGCAAATGATGGACTTAAAGTGCAGACTGTTGGTGTCATAGGCATTATCAGAAGTGTTATTAGCAAAGAAACTAGTGCAGTAACCTTTAAAGCTATAATTGAAGTTAAAATTGCTATGTGAACTTGTCACATCTCTCTAAAAATTAATTAAATCATTTCAGAGTTTAATTTTTAATCTAGAAGACAGTTACTCTAGACCTAACCTCAACTTGTTTTGATAACACTAGCAAGAATGTCTTTGTGGGTAAATCTATTTTCATGCATGTGGTTATTCAAGATATTCTCCTAGAAATCATTGTAATATTTAATTAAAATGTTAAAATATTTAATTACTGTAAACCACAAGGGATATCAATGTTGTAATTGCATTTAATATGAGGAAAAAGTAATTGGTTTTGCAAGTCGTGCTGACTTTATTAGCAATAGCATCAGCACTTTGCTCTGTTTTATTGTTTGAAAACTGATTACAGCATTACTGTAAAACAGGGTAATATAAAAAAGTTAATATACATTGTGTTAGCTTGATATATTAAAATGTGACTACGTTGAAAAGAATGGTCTTAAACAGATTTGTAAGTTAGCTTTTTTGGTACAGTATTTGCTGAATGTTATTTGTTTAACACTGAATAAATGCCTTTATTATTTTTGTTAGTTTGTTTTGTGTATTTGAACTGTGTAATGGGCAAAAATGTTTCTTTTAGGATTTCATGATAGAAGGAATGGTACAAATGGGAGTACATTACAACAGATTTAATATAAGACTTACCAAATTTAAAGTATAAATGTGTTTAGACTTTTTTTTTTAATTGCAGTGGTATTAAATATATCTATTCTCTATTGATTGGGGGAAATTTTTGTTCTGACTTCTCAGTTTTGAGAAAATAACTATAAACGTGTGTGTTCCGTTTTTCCTAAGATTTCTAATTAGTCTAAAGAGGCAAATATATTTAAACTAATTGCTAAAGAGGTATGACTGACAGTCTAATTGTTACTTTTAGCGTGCAGTCTCTTTTTTGTGTGTGTTAACAAGTCTGACAAGTCATCCTATTAAAATGCTATGATCTAAACAGCTAGACAGATCCTTCATAAGATTTAGATCAGACATCTGAAAAAATCTACAAAGTTGGCATTTTAAAACATAATGTATTTGGGAACAACTATCATTATTTTGTTGTTGTTGTTTTGTTTTGTTAATGAACTAAATCTTATGGGAAAATAAAATGTTAACTAAATTGAACGAAGTGCAGTGTTAAATGCACTGTCCATTTATATGAAAATGTTTGCTTCTGTTATCTTAATATTAATTATTCTTTATAAATGGTTTTTAAGTTGCTGCTACAGGGGCAGATTGTGGACCCGTTTACACAATTGTGCAAGGGAGTAAGGAGGTATAAGGTGCCCCCATACGCCTGTATGACAGCTACCCAGATAGCAATGCAGAGAGGAAAGAAGCAATATCCCATTCCCCCCATCTCACTTCTGCACAAGTCTACCTTCCCCAGTGGAGCAGAGGGAAACTGGAAAGCAGATTGTGACTCTAGGCTGTCTACACTACCACTTCTGTCGGTATAATTTATGTCGCTCAGGAGCACCTATGTCAGCTCAACATAAATGACGCTGACATAAGCGCCGGTGTGGACAGCACTATGTCTACGGGAGAGCTTCTCCTACCAACATAGCTACTGCTGCTCATTGGGGTGGACTAATTATGTTGGCAGGAGAGCTCTCTCCCGTCGGCCTAGAGCAGCTACACTAGAGATCTTAGAGCTGCACAGCTGAAAGCTCTCTAGCATAGACAGTCTCAGAGTCATGATCTCCTGGTCTGCTCCAAGGGCAATGCAACAAGGTGCTCCCCTTGTTAGGGCTTGTGGCAAATTCATGATTGAGCCTTATCATTTGATATAGCTTTTCTTGGTGTACAGTAATTAAAATGTAAGAAATTTCTGATTTGAGGTGAGGGAAGTCCAGATAAAAAAAATTGTATGTTTCAAAGTGATTTTATCTGTAAGGTAACTTAACTTACACTTGTTAATCAATTATTCTTCTAAATTATTTTACTTGTAAAATTCTTCAAGAACTTCATCTTTCAGTGATGCCAGAAAGTTCTCTACATAGCAGAATAGAATGTGCATAAAAATATCTAAACTGGAACTGTCAAGTAAAGTGTCATTTAAAAAAAAGCCTTATACTGTATTTTGACAGAGAAACAAATGTACTTTTCAACATTTATGTGGTGTCTTTTTAGTTTTAATGAACCAGCCCAGGTCTTATATTTGGTTTTCCGGCATTGAAAAGAGACTTAACAAAAGCAAAAAAAAAAAAATCCCACACCTATTTTAATTGTTGGGGGTTTTTTAGTTCTTTTTGATTTATGTTCCTATTGGGCCTTACTAAACCCTAAATTTTGTATCTGAATTACTGAAAAGTCCCTTAATTGTAATACAAAAAGGGAATAATTTTAGCCATTATTTGGATTAGATTTTTGTGGTTTAGAGTAGACATGAATGTGAATGAGAAAGTAATTTAGACCCCAATCCTGCAGAGATTTTTGGCATGGTCTACATTTGAAAGTTATAGCAGCAGCATCGGGGTGTGAAAAAAACACACCCCTGACTAACATAGCTGTGCTGATATGAATGTTTCTCCCCCTTCCCCCCCCATAGATGTAACTATATCAACAGAAGAGTGCTTCTGTCAATGTAGCTAATGTAGTTTGTGGAGGTGGTCTTCCTACACTGGCAGAAAAAAACCCTTTTGTCAGTTAGGCTGCATCTATGTTATGGGGTTATGCCAGCATAACTCTGCTAGTGTAGTCTCTGTGGTGTAAATGTACCCATTCACTTATGCTTAACTTTGCACAGGACTAGTCCTAAAGAAGTCACTACTCATAAATGTAAAGTTAAGCAAATGCATAAGTCTCTCTGTAGAATCAACACCTTAAGTTCTGATCTTGAGACCACAGAGCATTCTCAACTGCCATTTACTCAAGGAATTTCACATTTACGCTTGGCTTTATCATTCACTTTCTATGAACCTTTTCTTATTGCATAAAGGTATCAGTGCTTTAAAAGTGGTTTCCCTTTTTACAGCGCATTGTCTTTTTAATCTTGCAGTTAAATCATAATGTTGAATTTGTGATGACTTTCTTTAGTAAAACTGTAGGATTATAACTTCCCTACAGATCTGGGCAGTTGGAGAAGTTTGGATAGAGAAAGTTAATAGCCAAGCCCCAAATACCTTCCAAAATAGTGGAAATACAGAAAACTACTGAAATTGACCCCTCCGACCTTTCTTTAGAAAAAATTTAAGTTCTTGTTTCAAAGATGGCATCCATGTGAAAATCATTCTTTAATATTTTTGCATTTATGGAGTTGATTTCTACTACTGCAACAGATAATTTATGTCGAGGAATTTTTGTGTTATCTTATAACAGAAAGAACTCTGCAACATGATCCTTGACTGCTGTGCTCAACAAAGAACATATGAGAAATTCTTTGGTTTACTGGCAGGGGTGAGTTCCACTTTCAGACTTCAAATTTTACAGCAAGAAACATACGCTTCGTTTAATATGGCAGTAAAAGTTTTCATATAAGCATCTGATATTTTACAATAAATATGTCAATTATGTGTGGCTCTTTTGTTCTGAAGTTGGTTATATGAGCTGAGGTGGTTGGATTATCAGATGGTAATAAGCATTCATAGTAAATACAGAATGGGAGCACACTTTTTCCCTGTTTTTTCTTTAATGTTCCTATCTTGTAGAAGGATGGTCCAGTGGCCAATGCATAGCAGTAACAGTAATGGCACTACATAAGTGCAAAGTACTATGCTTTGTTATAAATAATTTTCTTGCAGGAGCAGGAAAGATGGTATTTTGGAGTTCTCCGTTGTTTCTCCACTTCATTATGGTTGCTTAGTTAATTTAGCAAATTAGGATGACTTGACTCATTCCTGCACCACTCTCTCACTAAAAGAAACAAATCTGGTTTTCTTCTTCTTCTTGTCTGTGTGTATGTAAAATGGGTTATAACTTTTGTTACAATTATTTATTAAGTAGCAGTTTTTCTTTTACTCCACCTGTAATCTCAGTATAGCTGACTCTAATAAAGATTACATAAGTAAAACTTTTCATGTTCTTTCAAGGTTACTTACAGTACAGAAGTTTCATTAATTTCTAGACTATCAGATTTCAGAAAATGTTACAGCTGATGTAGCTGTGCAAAAAGGACCATATTTCCTTTTTCTATTATTCACCTAGTACTAACAATTACCTTATAATTTGCTAGTAACCGGTTATAAGAAAGCACTTGGTTCCATAATAATCCTGGATGTTGAAATTTACAGAGTAAATTTACAGCACTTTATTACAGATTGTCACTGAAAAATATTTCAACGTTCAGGATTATTATGGAACCAAGTGTGTTGTTTATATTTCTTGGAATTGCTGTTTCTGCCTGAAATGTCGTGACACTAACTATGCTCCTTTCTACTTCTCTAGTTTCAAATAAACTTGCAATGATGCAATTAAAAATATTATGTCCTGTGGTATTGTATTAAGGGTTTCCACCAGGTGAGAATATTAGAAACAAGATGTTGCAAGGTAGAAGAAATTACCTTATCTAGTAACATGTCAAAATTGGTAATTATTGTTTTATAATGCAAGATTAGTTTCCTCTGGGAAACTGCTGGAGGTAATAAATTGATCTTTATATTCCATTTAAAGGTATTTTTTCCTTTCCTTTTAAAAGGAAAGACTTGTATAAAATGTTTAGTTCTAAATGTATTTTTGTTTAATGTTCTATTTAATCTGGTTATTTCAGCGTTTCTGCATGTTAAAAAAAGAATACATGGAATCCTTTGAAGCTATTTTCAAAGAACAGTATGATACTATCCACCGTTTGGAAACAAACAAATTGAGAAATGTAGCCAAGATGTTTGCTCATCTTCTGTACACAGATTCACTTCCCTGGAGTGTAAGTAGAAAAGGGCTGTGTCCTAGCTTCTTTCTTCAATAGTTAGTCTGTGGTGCTCAGAAATAAATTACAATATATCATGTTTTGTGTCAGGGATACCTTTTTAAGTCTAGGTTTTTAAAGCCTACTAAGACTGTCTGATTTAAAAAAAAAGCGAAATGTGTTATTTTAATTGATATTCTTATGAATTATATTGCTATAGTGTTGGGATGAAAGATGCTATTTTATATATGGGCCGAAGGATGAGCTTGATTTTCTAAAAATAAAAATAGAACCAGGTGTGTGTATTTAACCTGTGTTTTTTCTTAACATTTTCAGGTCCTTGAATGTATAGTACTGAGTGAAGAAACTACTACATCGTCCAGTAGAATTTTTGTCAAAATATTCTTCCAGGAACTTAGTGAATATATGGGACTTCCTAATCTTAATGCAAGATTAAAGGATGAGTAAGTTGAATTTTTACTCTGAGCATTGTCCTTTGAATGCTTTCACCCTGTAAGAGTACATACAGACTCTCCATTTTCAAGTGAAAGTTTTTACTAAATGAAAATACATAACAAATTATGGCCCCAATTCTGTAAAGACGAGTGTGTGCACATTGATGTCGGTGTACGTGCTGTGACTAGTCAAAGTTAAACATGCATAAATATTTGCAGGATCAGGCCTGTATCTTCTTGGTTTTTGTTCCACTGCTGTTTCAACTTGAATAGTAACTTCCCAAGCTGAAGCACATTTATTTGTATACATCAGCATCATTCCTGAAGGGTGTGGGGCAGAATTAGGTTTTTTTTTTTTTTTTTTTTTTGTGGCAGAGCGTGAAAGAGACCTCAAAAATATTAACTTTGTATTTTTATAAGATTAATTTTAAGCACAACAAAAGTAAAACATTCTCTTGTGTAAGTACTGGAACACACACATAACAGTGAGGATCCTTCCAATTGTTCAGGTTATTTCTTGAGGATCTAAGTCTTACTCCTTTTCAGGAGCTATTATCCTGTATGATGGTAAATTAAACAGGCACTCAAAACTCATTGAAGCCCAAACTTTGACCTACTTTAGGACCTAATTCAATGGAATTTCTACATGGAGAGCTGCTACAGAATCAGGCTCTTAAAGTTGTCATAATCTGACAGGGAAAGGCTGTCTTTTTTTATAAAACCACCATAGGCTTATGAAGACATTTTAAAATTCTGCTAAAGGAACACTTACTTTGCTGGACCCACAAAAGCATTGTTTTTTTCATCCATTGCAGTGTCCACAAAAAGCAATGCATGAACAAAGACTGTTTTTGTCCTGTGGGATTCCTATGATGTATTTTTCAACAAATGTATGTAGAAATTAAGATTAGTCTGCTGCGTGAGGTTTAACTTCAATGTTTTGTTTTTATCAGAACACTGCAACCTTTTTTTGAAGGATTATTGCCTCGGGACAACCCAAGAAACACTCGATTTGCCATCAATTTTTTCACTTCCATTGGTCTTGGAGGACTAACGTAAGAAATTTTCTTTTGGGGGGGGGTCTTAATCCTGATTTGACATTGCTTGACTTTCTGTTTAAGGATTGAGATTGTTTATTTTTGTTGCTAATTAGGGATGAATTACGGGAACATCTGAAAAATGCACCAAAGATGATCATGACACAGAAACAAGATGTTGAGTCATCAGATAGCTCATCATCTTCCTCCGAGTCTGACTCCTCAGATTCCAATTCTGACAGCAGTAACAGTAGCTCGGGATCATCTAGTGGCAGTGACTCCTCTTCTAGCAGTGACTCAGGTATTAAACAACATCTCTCATTTATCTCATTCTCTCTTTACTGTGTGCACTGATACACTTATCACGAAGAAATAGCAATAGTTGATATTTAATTATTTATTGCTAAATCTGTACTTCAAAAATTCCTATCCGTAATTTTGATAAAATTCTGGAAATCTTAGAAGAAAAGAAATTGCTTTCAGTCCATACATGGTGACAGGTTTCAGAGTGGTAGCCATATTAGTCTGTATCAGCCAAAACAACAAGGAGTCCTTGTGGCACCTTAGAGACTAACAAATTTATTTGGGCATAAGATTTTGTAGGCTAAAACCTGAGAAATGGGTTTTAGCCCACGAAAGCTTATGCCCAAATACCTTTGTTAGTCTCTAAGGTGCCATAAGGACTCCTCGTTGTTTTTTAGTTCCATAGTAATTTTAATTATAGAAGTTATAACTGTTGAGAGTCCTGTTTCCAGAGAGTGAAAGATGTGTTTTTGAGGAACGTATTATATTGGGTGCTGTTTCCTTAAACTGATGCGTCCATTGCATATATTTAATATTCAGATTTAATCTAAGACTTCCTGATAGTTGTTTATAAATAATGGCCAAGCACCAGTGTCCTTTTTGGTAGGATTATCAGTGAACTGTAAAGGTTAACACACCTGATTTTTTTTATTATTATTATTATTATTATTTTAGTACAGGCCTGTCTCATGGCTCTTCTTGATCTGTCCATTGGATTCCAATCCTCTTTTTTTTTTTTCTTCTTACTTCCCTGTAGCCACAGTTGTGCTATTTCATGTGTCAAACAAGGGATTGCTCAGTTTTCTGCAATTCATTTAGCTTCTTATGCAGGTCTGGGTTCCTGAATCCACTTCCCATTCCTATTGCTCAGAAGCAGTATGGTGCGCTGTTATAATAACCAAGGCTCCTTTCACTTGAGAATTCTCCAAGAAAGATGAAACTTTGGCTGACAATTTGTTATGCAAGAATTTCATGTATTATAATTAGTATTTTTAATAAGATTATCTTGCTGATGTAAAATCTGCTTTTTGACATGAAGGTATAATAAACATTGTTAACCTAAAATATATCTGCTATTCTAATTTGGAGCATTTAGTCTTATATAGTGTGGAGGGAGAGCAGATGATAGCACAGCATGAACTGCTGTAGTTAGGAAGCTTGCTGATTCAAAGTTAATTTGATTTATTATGATTTTAGTAGCAAAAAATACTAATAAAATAAATACACAAGCAGTATGAATTACACTTGCATTAGAAATGCATTTGTTTTCTGTTGCAAGCTTACTTTACAAAGTCTGAATTGATTGTTTATCACTATAAAGCTATTGCATTAATGACGACAAAGCACTAGTGGAGGGCACAGTTTAACCGGGTCAGAGAGGTGAAGTTCAGCAAAGAGCCAGATGGCTTCTGCATAGACAGCTGCAGCTTGGCTGAGCTGCTTGATAGGAACCAGAGAGGTAAGTCCTTAGTGGAAAAACCAACTGGTTGTGCAGTCTGTCGATGTGAGCATGCTTTTTGGTAAAAGGACACTCTCTTCTACTATTTTGTCCTTTTTCCATTCAGAAACAGATAAATATATGCATTTTGATAATCTCTGCAGTATGCTTTGATTATGTACACTAGAAGCAGGAATGTGGCAAAAATAATTAAATACAGTGTTAACTATAATAATTCTGTGAGATAATCAGGTTTCTTTTTTGTAACTTTTTATTCCCTAGTAGTTTAAACATCACAGTTTTGCTAGAAAGCAAAGGCTAATTGTTGGTTGTAACTCAGGTTCTTCACATTTTTGCATCTTTCCATAGATTATAATGAGGACTTCCTAGTAGTATTCTGAAAAGCATTTCCCAGAGGAATGCATTGTTAACTCTCTTACCAGTGTAGTACTGGTCTAGCAATTAAACCTGGCACATAAATGTTGCTAGGTGAAAATCTCTTGCTAAGGAACAATTTAAGAATTTGTGATTCCTGTGCTGATGGAAGCTCTGTGCATATATAATGGGATATGGGCCAGGAATTAAAGAAATTCCATGTTTCTTAGAACAGAAAGGAAGTGAACCAGATTTAAAAACATTTATTCTGGAAAGGGTGTTCTTGGTCTTCAGGTAAATTTCCAGGGTGAACTTTAAAAGAAAATTGAAAATTGCTTCAGCAATATGTTCTGAACATAGAAAGGGAACAGAGAAAGAGGGCACTGAGCACATAACAAATACTGAACTTGTCTTTTACTGTGTCCCCCAATGTCTCCTTTGCCAGCTCAACTGTGACTCTGTGTTGTCTGTTGGAGCACTAAGCTTGCTCATAGTCAAATAAGTTAGTTATTTTTTTATCCATTAAACTACTTTACAAAGTATCTTATTTTTACATTCCAGTAGAGCTATAATAATGAAAAAGAAACTGTATTAAAAAAAAAAAACATATTGTAAAATCTGACTTAAGTGACTCCCTATGGGCTGGTTTTAAACATGTCATCAGAGAAGCACCAGCAACCTCTCTCTCCACATCAGAGGTTAGGCAACTGCTGTAAAATTCAGTTATAGGATCTAAAATAAAATGTATTAGTGTCTCCTTGGTAGTTGTGATGCTTTCAAAAGGCAATTAAGCAGAGATAGAGCTGGCCAATGTGACATCGCAATGCTTAGAGTAAAAAGAAATGAAGGTTGTTTTTTAGTTGTGTTCTTTATGGTGATTTTTACTCTAGGGGATGTTCAGCACATATTGCTGATGTAATGTTTGTATTTTATTTGGCGCTCATCCTTTAAGCCCTTCTTTTAGTGACCAATCAACATAATGACACTATCCATGATTTTGGAAATATCTACCATGTCTGTTCATTCCATGGAATATAGGGTGACCAGATGTCCCGATTTTATAGGGACAGCCCCGATATTTGGGGCTTTTTTTATATGGGCTCCTATTACCCCCACCCCACCCCCGTCCCGATTTTTCACACTTGCTGTCTGGTTACCCCAATTGAATACTAAATAGATTCTGTATTGACAGATATTAGTAGGTTGGGAAAATAAAACTTGTTCCACAATGGATATAGACACTAGTCTGTTCGGAAATCTAGATGTTATTTAAAGCTTAGCTTCTCTGTGAGGTAAATGTAGAACCTGGATACCTATTTTTTGGGTAGGATGCAGAGAAAAAAAACTACCCCTTTCAAGTTAGCAACATAATTTACTTTTTTAGCTGTATTGTCTTTGCTGCCCTTAAGTAATTATAGCACAAATAAAAACTTTGCTTAGTGACTGTTAAGATTGCACAGGACATACCTCACCCAAAATCTTAAAAGCATGAAAATAAGGGGAAAGTCTCCAGCATTTCTTGCCACCCTCACGTTGTCTCCAGTGCTGTCAATAACACACTTCAAGCACTCTAAGGTTTTTACTTTCATCTGCAACAGATACTAAAAGTGCTATATCCTCACTTCTTAAAACTCTCACTCTGATGCAAAGCCCCAGCAATGTTAATGCAGAATAACAGAATAATATATGCAGGGGAGCTGAACTGTTGATACAAGAGCATATGAGGTCACTTAAGATTTTCTGCATGAAAGTGAGAGTTTGATGAACTTGCCCTCTCTTGTGCATGGAGGAGGAGCAGTGACTGGGGGAATCACTGGAAAAGCTTCTGGGACTGGTTATTCTCTATGGTAGGCTGAAGCTGGTGCCTAGGGTCATTTGGTGGCTGTAGCCTGTGCCAAGGTGCTGTTGCCCACCAGCTGCAACCACTGTTACATCGTGGAAATGGGTCTCGGAGTAGCTATCATGTTGCTGCAATACTATCCCATAGCTCTGTCATGACTTTCTCCAGTATCCCTTCTCTTTCCCTCAGGATAACTTGAGCAGACTACTGCAGGGACCTCAGCCCCTTTTGGACTGAGAGACTTTTGTGGGAGGAGTATGCTTATGGAAGATGGACCATCTAAGGATAGGGAGTTGGGACTCCTCCTGAGTTCTCTTCCCAGTTCTGGGTAGGAAGTGTGATCTAGCATGTTAGAATAGTGAGCTGGGAGTCAGGATTCCTGGATTCTATATCTGTCTCTGCCACTGACTCTGTGTATGAACCTGGGGATCTGTTCAATGATCCTGCTCTCTCCAGTCACCCTGACAGCTTGCATTGCTCTAACCATTGTAATAAATCCTCGTGCTGTACGTATGGGTACAGTGGGGTCCCCAACAGAGATGGAACCCAGATCTGTCAGCTCCAAAAATGCAAGCCTTTAATACAGGGAGGCGAAGGAGAATCATGGTATGTCATCAAGGCTTTTATCCTCTCTGTGGGTGGCAGCCACGTCTGCACAGTTTTGGTTATAACTCCGTACTCTTACTTCTCCTATGTTCTTTAGCCATTTAACGCACACAATTTTGTTTAATGATTGGTAAGGTTTCATCAGAACATTCCCATCACACTCATAAACTTAAAATAAGGGAAATATGATCCTAAGGAAAACTATTTGTGACACTTATATTTCTTGAATCAATAGATTGGCAGATCTGACTGTTGAATTCCCTGTATTTGGGAAGTTACTTTGCTTTAACAATGCTGAGGTTTCTCGTAAGGTTGTGTTAGAGTGAGCATTTCATGAAGTTGCAATATGTATTTCTTTTTGTTATCTGTTGGAGATGCAAATGGAAGCCTTATGTTGGATGGAGTGTGGTATTGACAGCACTTAGGCAATATAAAATGGGAAGGAATGCAGAAGACTCCCTTTATTTCAAAGCTTTTAAAATTGTGTATGGATGCCGTGTGTCAAGCTGCAACCTTACTGTCACTAAATGAAGTTGTTGTTGTTGTTGTTGTTGTTTTTGTATTAATAAAACAAGTGGACGTATAGGCCAGCAACAAAACCTAGAAAATGAGGAATAAGGCCTTGGCTACACTTACCCGGTAGTTCGGCGGCGAGCGATCGAACTTCTGGGTTCGGCCTATTGCCGCTTGGTC